AACTGAAAACCTCCAGAAATCGAATATTTTTGCTGGTCCCTTGAAGCCCAACTCGGGGGAAAAAAGGCCTTAATTTTCCAGAATTCAAGGGCAATAAATTCCTCAAGGCACTAAATCGAAATTCTCCGCAACAACAAAAAGGGAGTGAAACTTTTTCCAGATAAAATTCGTAGCACTGAATCGACGCTTGACCAAAAAGGCGCCCGATCGCCGCCACTTTCACACTCACGTCTCTTATTCACAGCAGCGTCACCAACAGGCGGCTTTTTCCGAGTATTCAAGACAGCGTTGGCAACCGGCTGATAAACCAGTGTCACTTTCCCAACTGCGCCACGTCCAAACGTCAATTCGCAGGGTTTCTTCACGCTCTCGACAGTCCTCTTGATCTTGACGCCGTCCAACTCCGTGCCGAGTTTGCTGTGGTCCTCGTACATCACGTCGCCATTTTCGAGCAGGGTCAAAGAGCCCTGGTGTCGAGACACGGAAGTGTCCGGCAGGACTATCGTGTTGTCTGACGCCCGACCGATCGTCACGTGGGGCTGGTTGAGCAGGAACACTTCGCTTCCGCCCGTGGAGCACTGGAGATATCCCCAGAGTTTCCCGTCTGACATTTCGGCACTGAACTTTGAAACTTTTGATCAACACTTCTGTTAGGAGGAGGAAAAATAAAACATAGGTTTCATTTCCTGCAAATTTTCCATTGCCCTCAAACTGGCCCAGAAAATTCAGGACAGGTAGCTGAAATACTGTAAAACCTTTCCAAGTCCAACTTTTAGAGAAAAAAAAAACTTGAGTTAAGGAGACAAGAACTTTGGTTGGAAAAAGAAAGAAATATTACAATACTCGGTTACCTTGGCTCTGGCTGTTTTATTTTTTTGGTTGATGATCAAAATACCATACATTATTTCAAACATTTCTGAGAGAAATTTCCAAGAGATCAGCCATTCCTTTGACAACTTCACATACAGTCAAAACTCTTCAAGTTGAACTTCAAGGAACCAGAAAAACATATTTGAATGTGGAAATTTTGAATTAAAGAAATGAGCATTTATGTTGGGGGAAAAAAGGAGGAATTACAGGAAATTTCAATTGGTGATAAGCTGGACCATAAATTGCTTCATGAATGAGTTGNTTACAGGAAATTTCAATTGGTGATAAGCTGGACCATAAATTGCTTCATGAATGAGTTGACAGGATGCTGAACTCAGAGGCAGGGGTTAATTTGCCCAATTAGTCTTTCACTTCCTTTGAAAGCAAATCAAGTTACATTTTTATTGCTTTTCCTCTTTCAATGAAAATATAGCCAAAATTTCCATAAAATTTGAGTAATGGAGATTTGAGAGGGAAAGCCTTCAATAAGTTAGAAAAGTTCTTAATGCATTGCTTCCATGCAAATTCAAACAGGGACTTTCAAAAATTCGACCAAGGTGGGTTTGAGTTATCACAGTTCAACTGTATATTTGAAAAATTACCAAAGAATGACAGTGACCTCCTGGCTCCAACTAGAGCTGCTCTCAACTGATCATAAAACCATTCATATTTATCATAGTTTTTAAAATATCTGATGGAAAAACATTAAAATTTCCATATGTAGTGAGAAATTTCAATGCAAACTAGAAATTCCCATTTTCAGGATTACGTCAAAGTTCAATTGGCCTTGAAGAAATATTCCCCAATGGCTTTTAAATGATGTCTGCTTTTCAATCAATGTTACAATAATTCGAAAACCAAATGTTTAAAATTATAATTTTCATCTCTTCGAAAATTCGAATTCCCAAAAAAATACTGTACACGTTACAAAGAGAGAGAAAAGGTCTTGGTGGTACAGTTGAACCCCAATAAGACGCCACGATTTGTCCAGAGGAATTTTGGCAGTTTAAAGGGGTTGGCGGTTTATCAAATATTTCATTTTAAATTATTTGAACAAAAATACAGTACTCCATTTTCCTCCAGAAGTCATAGAGATACAGGCTATGTAAGAAACTTCAGTAATTTTCTGAAGAGTATTGCTGCAATCAATGGATTACTCTTTCAGAAAATAAATTTTGCTGCATCAATTTATTCAAATTTTAGGAATAGGTCAATATAATTTTCAACAAAATGATCATTATTACTATTTTTCTTACAAATACAAGATCCTTGGCAGAAATTATAATTCTACCCCAATGTTGGCATTGTAATGAAGACAAAACTAAGTGGAAAAACCACTTTTGTTTCATCACTAATACTGGCGGATGGCGTCTGATCGAGGTTTTCTATAGAGTTTAACATGGAGCAGATTTGTTTTATTACAAATTTTGGCGGTTGCCGAGGGTGGCGCTTGGGCGTCTTAACGGGGTTTGACTTTATATTAGATTAGAGTGACGATACTCGTCCCATTTAGAAAAAATAATGAACTGATCAATACAGTCATCCAAAACATGTCCAGAATATTCCGGGCCACTCCAGTACAGTACTAAAATCATGGTGCTTCATAAAGGAAATAGACTACCTCTTGATACAATCACTTATTGGTTAACGAAGCACCAACTCTGTCAAGCAAACTTCGTTCCTCTGCAGCTCCTGTGTATTTTCAAAGTACACGATGAAATTCAAACACGAAAAAAAAAAACCTCAACTCAAGAAACTGAGTTTGAGAAAAACGATCACAAAATCGGAAAATCTGATTTGAAAGACTGCGGATGAAGAACAGACTTCGTTGGAATGTACGGAATTTCCTCGGAAATTCGGAAAATCTGCGGACGAAGAACAAATTATCATCACCGCAACAAAAAAAAAGAGTATTCGACGGATTGGACGACAGAGAACACACGCATATACGTATACATGAAAAACAATCCCGAGATTGCGACAAAACCGGTATAAATGCAAAAAATTCACATCGTTTCGGCAGGATACTTGTTGCTTATAATTGCTCGCATTTACCTCTTCGAGGGCACCTTTTCCACTTTTTTTTTCCTCTGCTTGGTCCTCTCAAGATAAAAACTAAAACAGTCGCCTAAAAAATTTCTAACCCACACCAACACAAAGGTATACTCATCTCATCCATTCCTCCTCCGGCGGAGCTTTCAATTTTTTCCTTCGGACACGGAGAGTTCCTTCAATTGTGCTGTTTTCTTTTCCTCAGAAAGAGAATTTCATTCGTATCCAATTTTTCTTTTTGAAGCTATCTCGGCAGTGCGAAAAACAGGCTGATGCTGCATGGGAATCAAAATACGATGCTTCCTTCTCACTGCCGTGCGGGTTCGAAGTCGAGACGTTTACATCACCTAAAGCAGAGAGATCAAGAAATTATTTCACATACACACAAATGTTTTCAAGCAAAAACGAACTGAATTCAGGCATTTCCGTGATGAGAGTACCAGAAGACCATCACACTTAGAGAGCATGAAACCATTTTTCAAGCAATTACACTCTTTGATAACATTTGTTATACAGTAAAAGAATCTGGCCTTGATATCTAGAGTGTCCAACAGGTGTCGCATGAATCACAAAACCTGACTCAACCATTATTGATCTCAACATAACTTAATGTTACGTTAACTTACAACAGTTGAACCTCACTAGGTCAAATTTCAAGGGACCAACACAAAATTCAACTGGAGGTTTTAACTTGGAAAGGTTTTGAATTGAGGGTTGAGCTACACTACAAAACCCTCTTGTTCTGGGAAACATGGAAAAATTGCCCAAAATTGTAAATGGTGATATTCTAGGGCTTAAATTGCTTCTTGAATGAGTTGAAAGGATGCTGAACTTGGAGGCAGGGGTTCATTTGACCAATTAATTACTTCAATTCCTTTTAAAACATATTAATTTACGTTTTATTGATTTTTCATTTATTATGTCAAGAAAATAATAGCCAACAGGCCACAGAAAATTTAACTTACAGAGGTTTGCGGGAAAAATCATTTGACTTGGGAAGGTTTTCAATGCATTGTTTCTAAGGGGATTCAGACAGGAACCTGAAAAAAATTTCACTTAGGGGGGAGTTCAACTTAGAAAGGTTTGAGTTATCAAGGTTCACCTGTGCATCCAAATTCCCTTTCAAAGAATCCCGTCATGAATTTTTTCTGGGTTAAACAAGTTTCTTTGTAGGTGCCATGTTTGAAAATCTCATTTTAAGAAACTAATTTCAGACTGTAATCTCAGTGAAGCAAACTTTTGGTCCGGATTCTGTGAATATGCCTTGAGGATTATTTGAAAATTGGCAGAAGACTGAGAAAAAAAAATCTAATTCAAACTGTTCGGACCAATTTCAACAGAAAAACTTATTGCAATGGAAATACAGTCAAGCCTATCCACGTCAGATTTCAGGAGACCAGCAAACAAATTCAAGTCAGGGAAAAAATCATTTCTGTTGTGGGAAAGAAAGAAGAATTGCAAGAAATTGTAGATGATGATATTCTTGGCCTTAAATTGCTTCTTAAAAGAGTTGACAGGACACTGAACTAAGAGGCACAGGTTCTTTTGCACAATTAATCTTTCACTTCCTTTCAGAACACATCAAGTTACATTTTCTTGCTCTTCTCCTTCTCTTGTCAAGAAAGTAGCCAGAAGTCCTTCAGAAAATTCGAGTGATGGAGGTTTTAAAGGAAAAGCCTTCAAGTTAAGAAAGAATTGTCCTGCACTGAATTCTACAGAAATTCTGACAGGGATTTGAAAAATTCGACTTCAGGAGGTTCAAGGTTCGGTAACTGAAAATCTGTCGAATTTAGGTTCAATTCATGTTCAAATTTGGGTGCTCTTAATTTTAAAATATTGCGGTTTCAGAGTCATTAAAATGGGGATACCTTTATTTAGAGAAAATTTTAACTGAAAAAACTCTGGTCGGCGTCTTACACCTGGGCTCATGCTGGTACTCAAGTAAATACGTGGAATCATTCTTCTCCAGGTGGGTAAAAAAAAAAAAAAAAAGATTCAGCTTCTCTGGGAATGTTTCAAATTTCATGCACGGAAAATTCTTCCCCGAAAAAAAAAAAAACCCCTTTATTCCCTCCACTTCATACGCAGTAATGTACCTGGAGAATCTGCGAGGCCTCAAACACGGTGCCCGAGGGCAAATGCACAGGCGACGCGACTCGCCCAGCCTCCACGCAAATCATATTCGGATACTCCTCGTCCCCGAAATCGCCCATGGCCTGGGCATTTTCCAGCCACGGATTCCACACCACAGTGTCCGGCAAGTTGTACTTCATCACCCGCATTTTCCGACCAGACACCACGTTGGAGATGATTTGTTCCGGCGGCGTGTCCTGGTACACGCGGTCCGTGAACTCGCCGACCGCCACGGCGTCCCGGTCTTCGCGGAACACGAGCCCGTTCTGCACCTTGTCCACGTAGGTGCAGCCCTTGAGGCCGCCGATTTGACACCGACGCACGTCCGGCACTTTGAAGTAGGTGTGCAGGAGGAGAGTGAAGGCGAAGGACTCGTGTCCCGTGTTGCTCACGCTCACGTTGAAGTGCAACTCCTTTTCTCGGAGGATCAAGCGATAAAACACTCGAAACCTATAGAAATGATACATCCTTCAGACACCTCATACAAAGAAAGGAATCCGGATTTTTTTTTTTCATCTTCATCAAAAAATAACTCAGGAATTTCTTTTCCGAGCTTGAAATTCCAACTCGCTTTCCGCCAACGAGTTGAAAAAAAAAATGCTAGCAAATGTGTTTTCCGAATAGGGAAAACCTCGAAATAATCGCTATTGAAACAGCAGAAATCAACTTACTCACAGGAGGTCCTAGTTTCCACCATTCTACAAACCCATACATAGATGTCGCCCAAACTTTTTAAATTCACAGTGGGGTCTTGGCTTACACACTTAATCCATTCCTGTGCAAAGTTTGTCATTCAAATAACGTTTTCCTTGGAGAAATTCCAGGAATAAAAATTTCAGTTGGTTCCAGAACCTTGAAAGTGCCCATGAAAATCAAGAAAATTCATCTTCAAAATTCTCACCAGGCCTAAAATCCAAGAAAATGTCCTTGGAAAATATAAAAGAAACCGTAAATTAGGTGCTGCACAGTTCACTTTTGACATTTGTCAGTCAGAAAAAAAGTAAAACAATTTGCGCAGATCTATACAGTATTCAGTGTAAAGCCATTAAAAAATGTCAAATGAAAACACTGTAATGAAACAAAAGCAGGTCGAGGGAATTATCAAGAAAGAACTCAGCCAAAATGGAAAAAAAGTGTTCCAATGAAACAGAAAATGATGCAAAAATAATTTTCAATTGGTGATTCCAGCCTCAATAATTTTAGCAAAACAAGAAACATTCACTAGGAAATATTGGCTGCTGATCTCAGGGACGAAAGATGGATGAGGACATTCTTTGAGGGTGCACATTCAAATTCACTCAAGTTTGTAAGTTGGGTGAGAATTTGTTAGCCAGAGCAGCTGAGGCCCAAACCTGAAGTTTGTTTGCTACAAAGTTTGTAAGCCTGGGCATTCCTAAGCCAAGACCCCACAGTAGTTGAGTTTATGTTGAGCCAACTCAAGTCAGGTTCAGTTACGAGATGACATGGTGAGCTGGATAAATTTGACTTTAGTTTTCCTTTCATTAGGACGGGACAATTCAACTTGACACTTTTAATACTGCCCCAACATCAGACAGAGCCTGCGGATATTTATAATATTTTTCAAACATCCTATGAAAATTTTAAAAAATCGACTTTTTCAAAATTCTAATGTCTCCAGAAAAAATTGAGCTCTCTCCACAGAGGAACAATAAAAATATTCTAAGTCTTTTCATAAATTCCCCCTAATTGACAATCCGAAACATCTAATCTTCTCAGGTTTTCTTTAATACTGTACCCGCACACTGTTCACAGTAATGTACAATAAAGAGAATATGTGTGCTTCTTCGTTGATTTTTTCATGCCATGGGGCCCCAAATGCACATGTAATGACCATGTCAGAATCTCTGCAGGTCAGATCACGTTTTCCCACAAGCTTTAATAGGTACAAATAAACTTGATTCTCCTGTTCGACAAAAGCTTGGAAGAAGTCCCCCAAATCAGTAAATACTTTTTTTTATTCCAAGATTTTGACAAGGAAAAAAATACAATCTGCTCTTACAGGATGAACAGGAGCCCAAAAAACAAAAGAACAAGCATATGTTTTGCTGTACTGCGCACATATGATGGGGGAAATACTACTTCAAAGAGAAGCACAAAAACGGCCTGTTCCAGATTAATAATTGGAGAAATTTTCTAAGATTTATTTTAAATTTTCATGAATATAAATACTGTAGTTCAAAAAGTTCAAGAGAGATCAACATTTCAAAACACTTCCATTTCTTATAAATGTTGGCAACATTTCGTCCGTATCCCGAAACATTCTGTTAATGCCGGGACAAATTTTCAAAGTTCCAAGTGTGTGTCCCCCAAAGTTAAATCGTCCGCATTTCGGGGCGTCCGCGGCTCGGGGTCCCCACAGTAAATCAACCAGAAAATTCCACACCCGCTGATGACTCACGGAAAATTCCACATGCTCCTCGTGTGCTCGGAATCGGTCAACGAAAACATAGCTTCCACATCCCCAGACTCGAGCCTTTCCGGCGGCGACTCGAGAGTCCATGTGGAAGTTCGTGCGAAACCGTGTTGTGGACCAAGATGCCAAGCTCCGAATTGCGCTAAAAAAAAAAAAAAATCACGATCAATTCACTTTCAATTTTGTTTCGTGGGTTAGAATCGAAGCTCAGTAAGAGCTTCACTCACGAAAAATAAACGGGACGCCTCCTCGAATCGCTTTCTTCCCGTCGAAAACTGCTTGCTTGCTCACAAACAACTGCTCCTGGTTGTTCACTCTCCAAGAAACAATCGTCGCTCCTGAAAAGAAGGAAAATGATTTCCGAAGGATGCAAAATTAAATTCAACCCATGGCAAGCACGTCACGAAATTTAAATATGATCTCAAGCAACGGAAAATTGCGAAATGAACAGTTCGTGTTTGAATTTGTTCGTGGTAAGCTACGAGAAACTTGATTCATCATTTATATTCTTACTTCAACGAATTTAAAATTTTTCATTGGTAACTCGGCGATATCGAATCCCTAAAAGCAAACTTCCATCACGAATCCCTTTCCTTCATCATCATCAATCAACAAAATTCAAGTAAAATACAGCACTGCATATTTCCAACTACACTAGAATGTTTTTCCGCAATTGCTAGAAGCAGCTGGTCGATTGAGATTTTCCAGAGCGCTTCGATAATCAAAACTCTTCACTTTTCGAATGGAATCGTTCTTCGTGAGAAAGAATTCGGATATCGAACAATTTCTTACAGTAATGAATTATTTGATGCGCCACTTTACGCATGTATTCCGCCACAATACAAATTTAGTTTTCCACAACCGTAATTCATAGTAACTATTTTTTCTTTTCCCTTCAGCTTCATAAGATCAGGGTTATATGAACGTCATCAATAAACTTCCTTTTCTGCAATACAGTATCTGACAATTTAGCAAGAATGACTTTCACAAAACGTGAAAAAGACATCGAAAAAAAAAAAAATACCTCAGTCAACCTAATTTAATCCAACTCCACTTGAGCCAAAAAAAGAGCTCAATGCAAGTACATCTCAATATAACTTAACTTACAAAAGAAGTGAAATAAATATTTAGACAACACCAACTCATTATCACGGAGACCCCAAAATCAATAACACCGAGCTCCAACGAGAAATGCCCAATGAAAAAACAACAGGAAATTACTTAGCACATTCTCGATGAAATCCACACCAAAATTTCACACGAATCAAGAGTTAAGACAGGTTTCTGGCGAAAGACTCACCATGTAGGTTCACAGAGCACGTGGTGTTATTGCCACGATCCAGCAAAATCACATCCGGTGGTGAAGACATTTTCCGTCACAGTAATAAAAATAAATAAATAAAATCGAAAGCTATGTTTCTTCAGTAAAGCACATCTGCGGAAAAAGTAAGAAAAAAACTCACGTCACGCACGACAAGGCTCCAAAACGTGACGTTTCAAGAATTAGAAAAAAATGTTGAGCAGCTCGTACACATCATATCCAACCTCATATAAAAAAACAGAAAATAAATTAAAGCTAGGAGGAAGATGCCTCATCAGGCCTCCGTTTCTTCTTTGTTAGTGTTGAAAGCTGGATAGAGTCGTTCTCCAGCTACGCCTGGTCGGGATTTGCCAGGCATTTCTCTGGTCCTCGAATGATCTTCAGCAATGATCCGAGCATTCCACTCCTCCAGCAACGTTTTCCCGTCGCTGGTGAAGGTGAATATTTGTTTGCCATGCTTCGTTGCTCCGTCATGGAGGCGCCGTTTCGACGTCCTGCACAAGATTTTCCCGAAAATTAAACAAACAAATAAATACAAATTAATAAAACGCAGTCGAACCTCATTAAGCGGAACTTCAAGAGACCAGTGAAAAAAATATGTAGTAAGAAGGCTTTGAGACAAAATCTCAAAGGAATGAATCAGGAAATTTTAATTGGTGATATTGTGGGCCTTGAATTGCTTCTGAAATAAGTTGAAAGGAAGCTGAATTGTTAGGCATAGATTCATTTGGGTTTTTGGACCAATTCTCACAGAGAAACTTACTGGAATGAGAATCAATCAAACCTCCCAGTCTAATTTCAAGGGACCAGAAAAAAAAATTCGAAATTGGGAAACACGCATTTTTGTCGCAGGAAAGAAAAAAGAATGACAGAAAATTGTAATTGGTGACATTCTAGGTCTGGAATTACTTCTTAAATGAGTCAACAGCATGATGAGCTTGGAGCCAAGGGTTAATTTGCCAAAGTAGTCTTTCACTTCCTTTCAAAACACCTCAAGTTACATTTTTATTGCTTTTCTTTTTCCTGTGTCAACAAAATAATATCCAAAGGGTCGCCAAAAAATTTGGTTTATTGGGGTTTGAGGGGAAAAGCGCTCGAGTCAGGAAGGTTTTTCATGCCTTGTTTCTGAAAGAATTCAGATGGGGAAAAAATGCATCAGGAGGTAAGTAATGTCAGGAGGTTTGAGTTATTGAGGATGAACTAGTGAGACCCCCACATGCGGACACCTCAACCTGCGGACAAGTTGACATAGGGACACTTATTTTCCCATAAAAAAAATTGATAAAAAGGCCCAACATGAGGACACAGACTATACATAGGGACATTTTGTGATAAAATTGCAAATACATTTCAGGCCATATTACAAGAAACAGATATTTCCAACCCTAAAATTGATGTCAGAAAAGTTTTAAAATTGATGTAAGAAAAGTTCTTGGGCATTTCTCTCACCAATTTACCAACCATTTGGCTATTTTAAAAAATTAACTCCAGCATAGAGGGACTTCTACTTTTTTTCACTTGAATGTTATTTTTGTAGTTGCCAACATTTCAATGTATAGTACAGAAATACACTATTAAATGCTCCAAAGGTTCCTATTGAGTTGAAAATGTATTCACAAATTCAAATTCAAGTGGCAAACCATTTTTTCCAGGGAATTCTGAAGAATATTTCTCCCATAAAACACCAATTAAAAATTATATAATGTAAGTCTATGGGAAAACAAGACTCAACTTAGGGACACTCTTAATGCACCAATTATGTCCGCATCTCGGGGTCTCACTGTATTTGATTTTTCTTTGAAGAAATTAAAGCAGAACCTTTCGGCGTTGGTGTCTGAAGAACCGTCTGGACCATCGCTTCCTCGCATCATTCTCAGCGCTTCGAGAACTTCTCGATGCCCTTTCGACCGCTGATGGGCTTTAACGAACACGAAAATCTCATCCCAAACGTCCTTGTACTGACTATCCCTAAAAAAAGAGAAATAAATGAGAATTTAGCGAAAAAAAACCTCCATTTTAAAACTTCAAAAAGATCGTCGTCCGCCTGACGTACTGACCTAACCAAAAATAATATTTCACAGCGAGTCTCCGCATAACGAAAAATTGGCACAACGAAAATTCTTACGCAGGAAAAAGCGACTCACAGAACGAAATTTTTCGTCCGGAAGACTGCTTACATTTGATCAAATTCTTATTTAAACTTAGGAATCTGGAGATATCTATATTCTGGTAAAGAATAACCTACATTTGCGAACGTCGGGCATTGCATTAAAATGCGAAGAACCAAAAACAAATTTCGAATCACAATCCCATTTTGGAAGATTCAAGTCATTTATGCTAAATGAAACCAAATTTTTTCTGCGAAAATTACTCTGAACTGCCGTGAATGCAAATCAAGAGGTTAAAAAATCTTCCGCGGATAAGAATTTCTTCAACTTCAACGATACCATTCCTCGAGAAAAAAATTAAAATATTTGACATTATAGAAGATTTCTGTAGCGATGAAGTACACCAACCTCTTGACACTTTTTGATTTAGCTGTACTCGGAAAAATATGCGCCAGTTCGCCCTTTTTCTCCAACTGGTGGATCTCGTAAATGATTCTTTTGGCTTCATTCACGTCACTCGGAGACATCACTCTTTTCACCATATTCAGCAACAAGTTATCAATGTGCTGCAGCGGGAAAAAAAATTCAAATCAGTGATATCAGTCACGACTCGGGAGCAAAAAACAAAAAGCCGAATTTTCACTCACTGGTCTGAGACTATGCAAGAAAGTGGCTGACAAAGTGAGTGGAAAATACGCCGTGAACCGTTTCAAACGTCTAACATTATGCTTGATGAAAGAACTCAAATTTGTACTGAGTTCTGGAGCGTTGCCGGACATTTTCGGAGGCACTGCGACGTCGCCAGGCCATTCAGCCAAGAGATTTCCTTCAATAACATCGGCAAAATCCTGAAAAATAAAGGAGTATTTCAACCAGATTCTCAACAAAAATGCAACTTATACTAAGCATGAATTTATAAAGGGCTCCCGCATAATAAAACGAATCCATTCCTGGATGTGTTCTGCTATGCGTAACAATATTTCCCTTAAGAATGCATCAGAAAAATTTCTAATTTTTCCAAAACCCAACACTTGTTTTGTAAAAAAAAAAAGTGCATTCCTTGAAATGAAATGGTACACAAAAGTCTACGCACATTCTTCTTCACTTCCTTTGTTGAAGTCAGTTGATTTACACCATTTCTTATTCCATTTTTGTTTCCAAAGAATCAGACCTAGAGCCAATCTTTACACACACAGTCAACAGATGTCACTAAACCAGAAAGTCTGTTGTAGCTTAAATTTGTTCATTACTGTAGTTGACTAGGATATGTAGGAAGGCTCTTATGTGTTAAGAAAAACATAAATAACAGTAGATTGCGGCTCAGTGTGAAAACAAGCGTCCTGCATTGCAAAGAACACTTTGCAATGCAGGATATTCTCACTACGCAAGTTGTTTTTTGTAATTTTTCCTGCCTGAGATTGTAATACAAAATGGATGTTGTGAGCAGGGACTTGGAGCAGGGTAAAAAAAAAATTTTGCTCCCCTCCGGACACAATCCCATGCTCCGGGCTCCAGGCTGGTGCTCTGCTCCAAAGCTCCGGACTCTTTTCACCATAACAATAACATAATTTTTTCATAATTTTTTGAGCATTAACAATTATTTCTCGGTCCCATCACTTGTTCCACAGGAACAATGCTATGAAGATTTTATTTTTACAAACTAATTTTCATCAATAATCTCATTATATACATTTTTAATTACAGTATAAATTTGTGCTCTATAGGCAATACAAATTTTTGTCACAGACTATAAAAATCTGACTTGAATGTATAGTAATAAAACTTCATCACAATAGGGTATGGAAATTATAATCTTTGTGAATTTATATTCAGCTATAATATAGGTTTATATTCAGCTATAATATAGGTAGAGGCCCATATGGGCCACTACCTATATTAAAGAGGTTCTGTAAAAGCATTATCTGAGGAAGATATTTTTCTGGTCCCCTGCATCTTCATAGATAGAATAGTGTTCCCCAACCCATGGCCCACAGANAGGTAGAGGCCCATATGGGCCACTACCTATATTAAAGAGGTTCTGTAAAAGCATTATCTGAGGAAGATTTTTTTCTGGTCCCCTGCATCTTCATAGATAGAATAGTGTTCCCCAACCCATGGCCCACAGACCAGTGCCAGTCTGCAGAAGTTTTTTTCTGTCTGCAGAAAATTTTCCTTTGCATAATAAATCAAAAGGAGCAGTGAATTCTTTTATTTTTATCTGAAATTTCAGAAGGATAATTGCAGTTTGAATTAATGATGAAAAATAAAAGTTGGATTTTCTCCTAATAATACTTCAGACAAAATTTCACCTGCTGAAACAAATTATTTTGATTTTCAATCAGAGAAACCTTTCTTTAAGCTGACTTCTCTAAATTTTTGAAGACATTCCACTGTACTGTAGCTGCATCATTGGTTCTTGGCTTAATTTCTTCAATCAAGCAAACTTTTTAAATACCTCCCATGAAGTCTTTCAAGCAAAACATGTTTGAGTCTGCAAAAATGTTTGCAAATATGAAAATTTGCCAGTGTGCAGAAATTATTTTTGAAATGTGCCAGTCCACAACAAAAAAATTTCTGAAAATTTCTTGGTCTGTGGGCCAATAACATTTGTGGGACACTGGTCCAGACTATTGAGTATGAAGTGTCCACCTTTACTGCAGTAGAGCAACCAGGGGATGCATATTTCCAGCAAGATTTTAATGACTTATTCAAGGGGAGGGACTACTGTTGGCTGACACCAGCCAAACTATAATGTGTATATGGTGGAATTACCTTGGAAGACCTGGAGGCAACTGTTGGAATTAATTCTATGTTGATTTCAAGAATTCTGAGAGGAAAGCTGGGCTACAACAGCAAAATCTGCAGGAAGGGCACCTCATCTTTTGAGTGGAACTCTGCCAGGGTGACTTGCAAAACATTAAAAAAATGGGTCATACCTAGACGTATTGCCTAGACTTTTTTCTAGGGCCAAAGAACATATTTTCCTAAAAAAATTGTTTTTCAGCTCATGTCTAGGCCTTCTCAAATTATATTCCAAGAACTTTTGTTAGACCCCTTGTATATCTCACAAACTAACCCATTTTTTAGATTTCATTGAAAAATAAATACAACTTAACCATGGGATACTTGTTTAGCACACAAGCATCCACATCTTTGAAGATGTTGAGAAAAAAACGGATTCAGGATAACCCCTCTCTCAACCTAATAAGAGCAACAAGGGGAAGATTTTTCAGGGTTTGAGGACTTGACTGCCTTGGAGGGAGGTAGTTTTGTTGACTGGTGCCAGCCAAACAGTTACATATGGCTGGGGGTTCTCCCCAAAGTTTTCAAATTTTATTTGAGGCCTGGAGCCCGGAGCAGCCAAAAATTTTGCCTGCTCCGGGCTCCGCTCCGCTCCGGCTAAAATCGCTCTGCTCCGGGCTCCAGGCTCCAGGCTCCGGCTCCGCTCCAAGTCCCTGCTTTATACACTGGGTTTTTGAAATGAAGGACCAAATTTTCTTTGCTCTCATTCCTCTCTTGATCCATTTCGAACAATGTTCTTCCATATGTTGTTTAAAAAGAAAAAAACAAAGTGAAGAAGAGAAGAAAGGTGAAGACGTTTTAGAAGGTTAAGGTCTTAATTTTGGCTGTCTTCAATTGTCACTGTTTCGATCTGCCCACATCCCTTCTTGAGTTTGCCACATAAAAATTAAACACGTGTCTCTCTCTCTCTATCTTTTGTTCCAAACATGGAATGAAATGAATCCAGTGCCTCGGAGAGAAGGCGATAAATGAAAGAAAGAAGAAAAAAAAGAGGTGGAGAGGAGATCATCATAATCATGATCATCAACATAGTCATTAAGCAGACTCCGTCACATCTCGCACACGTTCCCCCTTCCACCCCGCAATTTCCTCCCTTTTCAAGAATCGATTGTTGTTACCTTGAAGGCTCACACATATTGAAACTGAGCATAGCGCAGTTTTTGGGTCCCTGAGCGTACGTTAACTACGCAGAAGTTCCGGAAAAAGGCTCTGTGCAAGTTGTCCTACTTTGGTTCTCACTCACTTCTCGTACGTACCAAGTGAAGAAGATTTTTCCCCTACACACGTGCTCTCCAAAGAGATGAGGTCGCAATCATCGTTTTCACAGATGGCGCATCATCAAATGCTATCCACGGGGTTCCATCAGAAATTGCAGGAAATGATTTTGAACAATCTTCACACGCTTGTGAAAATCCACGTAAAGAAATTTTCTTCGGGGAGGGGGGGAGAAGGAGGAATAAACCCACTTTCGCGGTTTCCGTTAAAAACGCTGCTTTTGCAATACCGTGCGTCGTTACGAAAATTCTCGGGTCAAAACGAAAACGCGATCATCAGTTGTGTGAACAACCCTCTTCAATACTGAAGTCCAGCAGTACAATCAACTAATAAAAAGCGTTGCCCAACACACGGCGGCCCGCGGGCCACAACTAGCCCGCAGAGACTCTTCATTCGTCCCTACCCTAAAATTTTCCAACTTGGCAGCCGCCACTATTCAAAAATACGCAAGATATATTGAAAGATGAATTCTAAAATTCAGAAATTCTACATGACTGTGCTTGTACAATAATTAAATACATTGCACTGAATCAAATTTCAATCCTTTTTAAAGTACTGTATTTCCACATCACAGTTGGTGGGCATCACGGAATCTACCATTACAGTATCTATAAATTCCTGATACAGTACAGTGTTATCCGTGACTCCACAAAAAAAAAGCGCACGCATGTAGAGTATATTCTTTTTCGAGTGAATTTTCAACAACAGTCTCGCATGGCATTTTTTTGTGTCTAGGATTATGTAAAATGTTAGAAAGAGCGGAAACGAGTCGTTCGACGACGACGACTGCATTGTGACCATTACTCGAGGAAAATTCAAAGCCAGTGAATAATGAAACACTACCCAAATTAAGTACGCACTCTTACTTCCACCATCTCGACCAAGAAAAATGTTCTACAAAACAAAAAGCGCCCTCTTCATCTACTCCCTGTCACTGACGAGAACCTCGAGAAATTATGAAGAGAGGAGAGAAACCGAAACAGAAAAAAGAGGAAAGAAAAGGAGGAGACTTTGTCAAACTGTACGAGTTATCCTCCGAAAAGAATTCTCGAGCCGGCAGCAAGGCTGAAACGTTGCGCAATTTCCTCATCCATCGCCTCGGGATCTCGATTGCAAATCGCCTCCCTCCCCCCCCCCCCTTTTTCTCCCCCAAAGGTTTTTTGCGCCTCTCCAACAACCACTGACTGACTGACTGACCCACATCTCTCTCTCTCTCTCCTTCACGCGGAATGAAATGGAATATGGCCGACTTGAAAACGAGAGGCATTAACCTGCTCCAACACACTCAAGGGCGGCGCTTCATCGTCAACTCTTTTTTTTATTTTATTTATTATTTTGTATTCAGCCGACAAGAAATGTAATCCGCCGCTGCCAGGTACTGTACTGGACGGACTGCCTTTATCTGAACACGCAGATAGATAAATAGATCAGATACTGATGTCCGTCTGTACACGCTCGTCACAGTTGACAGACATCGATTATTTATATCCCAACCCCATGTCGGAAAAAAGAAAAAATAAATAAATGAATGATGATGATGCACCCTCTCATCCGTAAATCAATTACAATTTGAAAGACGCTAGGAAATTCCCTCAAGCGCGCGTAACTCAATAACGGAGAAATGTCCCGGATTATAATATTATTTTTTTTACATCGAGGTTGACATACAAAAAATGAACAACCTCGAGAATGGAATTCCTTTCATCGGTCGAGGATCAGAATTTCAGTAATACACTGCATATTCAAAAAAATTCATATACTGTACTGTTAATCTAAATATTCATTTAGATTAAATAGAGAGAGTGAATGAGTGATAGTGGACCTCTGTAGCGATCACGTCGTCATCTGCTGCTTTTGGCGGCAAAACGGCGTCCAAGTCCAGCTCTCCTCTGGCATTCCTCGGGAACGCGTCCTTTGGTCGCACATTCTTATTCGTATTCTTATTCTTCTTTTTATTCCTTGTTCCATCCTGACTATTTCTCTCCTCGTCTTTCTCTTTATCTTCATCTTTCTCCTTCTCCTTCTTGGTTTTCTTGGGAGCCTTATTGTTCGTTTTCTTCACGGGCGTCGATTCCGCCTTCGACGACTCGGAGCCAAAGGAAACACCATTCGACTCGTGGACTGCAGCTGCAGCAGCGACAGCCGCCGCCGTCGTCTTCGACGGCTTCTCATCGTCGACGAGCACGAGCCAAAACTCGGATTTGTCGTCGTCGTCATCGTCGTCGTCGTCATGATCATCATGAGCATTATCATCATTCTCCTCCTCCTCCTCCTCTTGCTCCTCGTCTTCTTCTACTTCTTCTTCTTCGTTGTCGACCAAACCGCCTTCGACGTCGTCGCATGCAGCAGCAGTATCTCTCGTCTCCATCTTTCGTCGGTCCTTGAGTATCGGTTTCGGCGATGGTGCAGACAGGAGGAGGACATCAGGCGGAGACGTGACGGCAGCGACTTGTTGCAGGCTCTTGTTTTTCCGCCTCTTGGTCGTGCTGCTGTTGTTGCTGCTGCTGCTACATTTTCGGGGCTTCGGCGACGACGACATGACCGTCACTTCCAGCGGCGACGGCGCGTGCGAGCAGCGCACGTGGCAGCAAAAGCGCGTGTCACCGTGGCCCAGACACGACGTGATCCTCGGCGACAACCAGCGGGCGTCACTCCGCTCCTCGGCTCGGTAATCTGCGTGTCGCGTCGACGACCGCGACGGCGTCCTCTGACTATTGCTGCGACTGACGCTGGCGACGGCTGCTGCTGCTGCTGCAGCAGACGACGAGTCGACTGCAAATGCCACGCTACGAGTGCGTCGTGAAGAAGAAGACGAAGAAGAAGTTGTTGTTGTTGTTGTTGTTGCTGCTGCTTGTGGTGGCGACGACGACGACGAAGAAGACGACGCCGCAGCAGCAGCAGAAGCAGCAGCAGCAGAGGCGTACATGAGCTCCTCTGCACTGCACGACGACGACGGCTCGCGCAGGCGGAAGCCCGGCGTCGCACTCGTCCGGATGTTGGGCGACGAGGAGAAGGCCAACGCGTGGTCGCAGTCCGACGACGACGACTCCTGCTTCGTGGCGCGGCGCCGCTTCATCGTCTCGGCCGCCATGGACGTGGCCGACACGCCGCCGCGAAGAGACTTTTCAAACGGATCCGGGATCCGCATCTTCACCTCACTCATGTCGTCTTCTTCTTATTGTCTTCTTCTTCTTCCTCTGCTTCTTCTTCGTCTTCCTCCTCCTTCTGTTCGTCCACTCGAACGACGACGCCGATCATATTAATTCGCACTGATGCATGTTTGTCAAATTCATCCATCAATCCATCAATCAATCAGTTGCATCGCGGCTGTCTTCCGTCTACAATATCCCGCGTTGCACATTCCATAATTTCTTCACTCGAGGGGATACAGTAATCATCAAAAGTCCGTCATTCATTCAACCCTCCTTGTTTTCATATTCTTGCGCAATTTTCCCGATTTCCCCGTCGCAACAGAAATTTCCATTGTCAAACACTTTCGTTGCAAGAGACGAAATTGCACAACAAATTTTCCCGATTTGCGCAAAATTGCAGTCATTTATCTTTTCCGTTTTGATTTGCTTCATTCGCCTTTTCCACACACGTCAGTATCCCATGCGTTAAGGCATTTGAATTAAAGGCATTTGAATGGGTAAATCGGAGCTTTCCAACACAGATAAAAAAAATCTCATCTCTCATTATAGAATGCTTCAACAATAAATTCCGGGGTAAAAAAAAAAACATATTGAATCTTCCGCTTATCCGAAACCACAATAAAACGAATGATATTCTCTGAATGTATGCAAAACAATCGAGTGCTTCCAAAGCAATCCGTCCGTCCATTTTCCTCTTGATTTTAATGAGTAACGAGTAATTTACTCCGCTGCTCGTCAAAAGTTGCACGTTGCACACCGCTGTGACTGTTGACGGTGATGTCATTGGTTCCAATTTACAGAATTACCATGTTCACCAATTTTATTTCGACCCCGACGACTCATCTGACACACAGGTTCAATTAGCACAAAAGGAGTGTTCATCATAACATTTTCTTCTTCTTTAATTTTTTTTCGTGTTTCGGTACTTGAAAAAAAAAAAAAACTGGACACACTGCATGAATGCGCTCAACAACAACCAATACGACTACCCCGCAGTGAATACATTATTCGGAATGAGTCGCGAGAAACAAATTCGAGGAGTGGACGAAGGTGACAAGAGTGTGGGAAAGAGGAAGAGAAAGAGAGAGAGAGATGGACAGACAGACAGAACTGCCTGACTGACTGACGGACGAACGAACGAAAGAACGAACGAGTGCGATGAGGCAATCCGTCCAGCAAACATGCAATTCAAACACAATCGACCACCTGGCGCAAAAATATTGCCTTTTGCCAATGCCCTTCTTCGCCAAACTTGATTCCAACACATGAGAATGATTTGTCACGTGGCGAGAGAAA